CATGCAAAATTACTATACCGTAATTTATATATTTTTAAGAAAGTACTTTTCAGTCTCATGCACATCCACAAAAAACTATGCAATTTTCCATATGAATTAATATAGGATGTGGCAATTCTTAAGGCTGCACATAAGACTTTACTACTGTATTGTGATGCAATTGTAAGTTTTAATGTGACAGTAGTATTATATATAAATGAACGTCAAAAGTTATTATCGCTGATCAGATAAAAAGAGTACAAATTATAGTTTATTTGACTGGAAAATGATTAAAACTCGATATCATATAATACCCCAGGAAATAATATCAAGGTACTGTACAGCTAAATTAAAGTTAATTGTGATATAGTGGATATCATACAAAAAATATTCATTATATGGAAAATTATTGTGACTTAATGTTAAATGAACCTCTATATGTGGAACCTCTGTACAAATTACAATGTACTCATAGGAGAATATTTTGTGACTGTTACTTTGATTGAGTACCTGGATTTTGATCAATAATATTCTGATTGGGTTAGGCTAGATCAAAGGGTTATTTCTAACTCAAAGAGTGTAGATGAATCTCTCTTTTAAATGAGCAAAATCAAATGATTGGAAAGAGTTGTTTCTCACCTTGTATAATTTTCCTTTCAACTTGTTTGACATATTCCAAATTTTGCGATTTTCCAAATACTAAACTGATAAGAAATATATTTTCAACTGGGTGGTATTCTTGTGTTCAAGTGGGTGAAGCTTCAGATTGTCACAATAATGGGGAGATCAATCAGTAATATGGTATCTAGGTTAACAGTAATTGAAGAACAGTGTCTATATGAATGTGTTGACTTTACCGTAACTTCCAAGTAACTTTGCATGGCCAGTCACATAAAACACTGCAATGTAATTATAACTGCTCATTAATCTAAACTTTCTGTGATTTCATTAATGGATGAAGGGTTATCGAAAATAGCCTTAAAGGTTTATTCTCTCCTTCCCCACTGTCTTATTAGATAATCATTGGGAAAGGTACAATCAGATATAGCAATAAACCTACAAAATTGTTCATTTTTAGAATTTTTCATTCAATCCTTCTTTTTTCTGGTTAAATAAGTCCATAGTCTGGTAATTTTTAGCACCATTCGTGAACTTCCCTAGAAAATTTTATATAAAGTGGTTCTTGTGTTATAAATTTATCTTAGAGAATATAGAAATATAGCAATTGATGATTTTAATGCCGACTAAGGTCATTCGTGAAATGCTTTTACACCATACTATACCATACCATGCTTTAAATATGCGAGGATGATGATAGTAAGAACTTGTAGTCAAGCAAAGATATATTTTTTATATAATGATACATTCAAAGACAGTGTTTGTCCTTGTGTGAATAGAAGATAAAGTCCAAAGGGAAACACGACTGACACATTTATGAATTAACTTTCTGAGGACAATGACGGTTCAATCAAAGGATATCTCTAGCTACATCAATATTGTTTAACAATTCAGAGGGGTTACTAGTCTCAGCAAGCGAATTTTAATTCGATTTCAGCAACAAATCACTGCATTCTTTTGTTGGATTAAATGGTTCAAAGGCAATTTTCTGGTGATTTATAATCCTTGATGCATTTGTGATGTCTCTGGGGATAAATTTGTAACTAGTAATAATAGGTAGTGTTTTTCCTAAAGTGTCTTATTCAGGGATAACTGTTATCTAATGGCACAGGAGGAGTATTGTGTCCCATCATGCAACTGATGAAATTGTATTTTTGAATTGCTCACGGCAAAATTTGCTCGTGCATCACTTAATGAGCCTTCCACGCAGGTATCGCGAAAAAGATGAATGAAATCTGAGGTCTGAATCAAATATATCATGAACTATGACGCTGATGAAATAATAAAAACTCATATTTTATTGTCATAGTTATATGAAAACAAGTGAAACATTGGATCTGTAACCCACAATATTTTTTTAAGAGTCAGGTGCCCTATAAAATGTTCTTAAAATATCTGACATGATTGTTTACAATAGCTTATCATTCGGGAATAGTAAATACTTTCTTATGTTTTGCACTTTTATGTCACTGCCAGAATTGTTATAGTCTCCAACTTTTTTGTGGACCATGTTCAACATCTGTAACACGGTGTCTGTAACAAATTATGGCATCTGTAACAAATGGCAGGTAGAGACATTTTGCATGTTAATGTCTTTTATTCTATTATTTAAATTCATTATGTGGTTGAACCTAGAACGCAACAAAACACCTGTAGAGATAATATGTTTTACAATTGTGGAAGTAAATTTTGAAAGAAATGCAAGTTTGGTTATTTTATGGACCCCAATCCCCAATTCTGTGAACAATGTTTTCATTTTTATGTTTGAATCAGAATAAATAATGATAAGGCCATTCAGTATGGTGAAATTCTACACTTGATGGACAGAATGTCCGTACAAATACACTCACTTCAGTTTGTGCTTTGTACGACATTCTATCCAACTCGTACTGAATTTCAACATGTTGAATGGCCTATCATTATTTATTCCTTAAATGTGATATATCATCATGATAGGAACCTCATTTTCATTAGAAAATTTCTAGTGAAACAGAAAGATGTGACGAGAATCAGATTGATATTTATATTAACAATATCACATGGACTCTTGTGTCTTGTCCTATAGCTGCTGGGATGGATGGGTGTCCTTTGCTGCTCTTTCTCTTGTATAGCAGTGTAAGAGCTGATATATTTGATATAAGATTTAGCAACTATGGTTTTATATGAGGATTATCTCTGAAGATAGAAGCCAGATGAATTTTACATCTAGATTTGACATGTTATGACATTGAGCAGTATATGAAGATATAGAATGGTTCAATGCTACATTACGATGTAAGGCATTATATCAAAATAAAATGATGGAACACAATATAGTATAATACAGCGTAGAACGATGGAACGTATTTATAGCTGGTTTTGGTATGCTCTGATAAAATTTAATAATGACATCTGATATAATATAACATATTATAATGCAATACTGTAATGGAATATAATATAATGGAATATGGTACAATATGGTACAATGAAATATAATGGAATATTGAATAATAAAACATAATACAATATTAGAATATTAAATACAAATATAGTACAATGCAACACAATAGAATATGATACAATACAGTACAATGCAATATGATTGAATATATTATACAATAAAGCACAACACAATACGATGGAATATGGTACAATAAAGCACAACACAATATGATAGAATATGGTACAATAAAGCACAACACAATACAATGGAAAATGGTACATACAGCACAATACAATACAATGGAATATGGTACATAAGGCACAATATAATACAATAGAATACAATGCACAATGGTACAATGCAGCTAAATAAAATTTGGAAAGATATACTCACAGCTGATATGGCATAGAAAGTGATATGCTACACTAGACTAGACTACAGTATTCTATAAATTAGAATAAAAAGGATGTAATTCAGATATATAGGATAGTATAGAGTGAAGTTGTTTACTTAATAAAACAAATACATATGTTATATAAAGTAGGAGGGTAAAATAGATAGAAAACTACAATTCTAATCATCAAGTATTAATAATGACAAAAATAAAATCAAACAATACTTCATTGTAACCAGTGAAATTATAACATTGATTGCATTGGGACTGAATTTTACATATCAAGTCAAAACACATGGCCAAAACTAACTATGAATTCTTCAAGGATGTTGTTTCCCTAGTTGAAAAATTGGCATTGTATAGGGAATGGCATATTCATGTATTGAAGCGAAACTATAAAACATTGTTTGTGCTATTCTGGTAAAACATGTTAATGTTTGAAAGGTAATGGCGTTTTTAAAAATATTTTTAAGATTTTTTATTTTAGTATATAATTATCAATAAAATATACTGAATTTGTTATGATCTCCCACATGGAATTTTCATTATGTTTAGCTTCATGGGGTTTCTTATGAAGGTATGTTTGATGTTTTCATCTTTCCCATACCTACTGAGGTTCCAGGTACATAACTAGTGGGAATATATAGTATATCTAGGGAGCGGGGTGGATATTTTCCATATTTCTTCCAATTTTTAGTCATTTAGTGAATTTGATGACTTTTACAATTCAAAGTCAAGCTGATCTGGTTACTCAGATTTTCTGGCCAAAGATGCTTGTTTTCTATTCTTTATTTCTTGACTATAATAACTTTTCAGAAATATTGACAATCCAAATCTCCTTCAGCCATTCAATATCAGATTATTTGAGAGGATTTAATCTTGAAATGTGTTATTAGAAGAGAGTATATTGAGTATTTTATTGGACTTGTTTTTAAAAGAATCTTTGAATGGTGCATGTTTATCATGATTCACTTGTGGCAAATCTTACTCAAATTGATTATTAATTAAGGAATACATATGATAGCCATTCAATATGGTGAAATTTAGCACGAGTTTGACAGAATGTCTTACAAAGCATGAACTGAAGATACTGACATTCTGTATTTATTTATTTAATTATTTATTTATTTATTCTGATTCAAACATAAAAAGAAAACATTGTTCAGAGAATTGGGGATTGAAGTCCATGAAATAACCAAACTTGCTATTATGTTCGCCATTCCCAGGTGTGATGTTACAACTGATCATTAAGCCAACATACATGTACATGTACATGATAATACATTTTCTTAACAAGATGCTAAATTCTTATGTTATCTCTGGCTGCATTCGTGAATGCAACTATTGTCTACCAGCTACTGGGTAGATAGTAATTTGATGGCTAACTTATTTAAATATGAATAATAACTGCCTTGCCGGAAGTGTCAAATCCAAATGCTGACCGAAATAATAGGTTAGTCTGCCTATTTAAGCAGACAATCTGATCACTGTATAATCGATCCTTACATTGGCATAAAAATGTGATGGTTGTTCAACTTCAAAATGACAATTTCTAACAAACAAATTTACTTTTTGTATTTGCAGAGATGCCTACCTTAAGCACAATGAAGAATTTAAAAAAGCGCGTGAAGAAGCCCAGCTCAGACAACAAGATGACTTACAGAAACGTGAGAACGATAGAGGTAAATATACCTTATTTTACAATACACATACAAGGGTTTCATATGCAAGTGAAATTCTTTCCAGTTGTTGTAATGTTATTTTAAGGAGTTGCACAACTGTTTCTATGGTAAATTCCACTAATTTTATCTGTTGTTATCATCCACTTTGCCTTTGTCAGAAATTCTAATTATATCCCTGTTGTAATGAACAGTTGCAATCATACATTGCAGTTCCCATAAAAGTCCTAATTTTTTGTAGAAAACAAGGCCTTTCTAACTGTAAAAATCTTACATACATACATACAGTCATACATACATTTTCTTTTCTTTTTTGTAATGTCTGTATGAACACTTGCTAAGGAATGATGCTTTGACTCCAAAATGTAGAATATTTTGTGCAGCAACTATAGATGGCTGTCCTGTATAACGAAAACAAATCTTCCAGAATGATGTTTCTGGTTAATATTAAAATCAATAGATAGCAGCAGTTTTGCTGGATATATTGGAAAAGCATTTTCATACCATTACATCATGGACTTACTTTCTGTATGTCCATCATTGTATGAACGAATCATGTTCTAATCTAAGCTACCGTAGGTATAGTGTAAGGATTTATCATTGTTTTTAGGTCTCCACCAGAAGTGGTTACATATTGTTATTAAGTTTCCAATTTTTTTGTGAATGGTGTTTGTTGGTCAATGGTTGGTGTTTGGCCTTCAGCGGTTGATGTTCAATGCCTGTAACAAATGGCAGGTTGTGACATTTTACATGTTAATGCCTTGTCATACATTTGTTACTAGAATTACAAAATAAGCTTACAACTTAGTGGATTAGTTTATAGATGGCAATTAAAGACACACTATTAGCTAGCAAAATATTGCTACCCCTAGATATCTTTATAGTAAATTTTTATATTCAATACCAGTTTATAGATGGCTATAATGAATATGTTTTTGCAGACAAAAGGAAAAGGTAAAGGAACACTCTGATCTCAAACCCTTACCTCTCTATTCTTAAGTTGAAAGATTAAGATTTTTTTGAAAAGTGAACCCCCTTGGCAAAAGCTGGCTACAGACCTGGGGGGGGGGGTTGCTGTGGATATCTTAATGGTAGAGGGTAGAGAATGATATGAAATTGATTTGGAACAATAGAAGGATTGGCATTGACTTATTTTGCAATATTTTGCCAGGGGTAAACGAGAAAAAATGTGGTTCATAGTCAAGTTTTAAAATCAATCATAGAGTGAAAATTAGTGAAAGTAACTAAATAAATGAGAAGCTGAATATTCAAGACTCTAAATTATACAGAAATGCCGGAAAACCAGCTACTCCATTCAAATTTTTGAGTAAATGGAGTGAAATAAACATATTGAGGGAGAAATTTTGATCTCAGAGAGGCAATTAGAGTAATCAATCCAAAGCCTTATAGATCAAACGCTTCATTTGAGGGAACATCAATATAAGGCAGAAAGAGATTATGTTCATAAATCACCACTAAATTGCTATTGAGAGCAAAATAATAAGTTATAATAACTTTTGAATTTAGTTAGTAAAACCTGTCTGTTATCAGATTGTACCAGATGGCTGTTAGCCTCCAATATTTGGGAAATCTGTTTTCAGTAGATTTTTTTTAGGAAAAGGGGATGGGGTTAATGAAATATGTTAAAACCTCATTAAAGACTTCATTTAAAGACAAAGTGGAGCCCTCGAAAAGTACAGGTATCTTGAACTGTCTTACATTGAAACATTGTTTTTTTTCTAACTAAAGATCATATGCATGTAATAAATTCCCAGGCAAACCCTTTCACAAGATTGTCATTGCATGCCTAGATATTATACTTAACTATGACATCGTAAAAGATAGAACCTAAGACTTTTGCAGCAAGATACGGAGATTATAACCTATCCTGTGATTAGCTCGATTGTTTTGTATATTATGAGTTCCATCCAATTTGTAGAAGATAAGGCCTGGAAGATTCATTGCAGCTATAATTTCTGTGACATCTCTGAATTAGCTTGGTAATGTATCCTGTATTAATATTTGATGTGTCTCAAAGGAGCCGAAATGATTAGATTTAGCATTGCCAACATTCAAAAGTGCAGGATTTCCATCCGATTGCTTGCAGGTCTATTGTGCTTCTCATGAACATATTTTGAAACCTAAAATAAGTGGTTTACTAGTTGTACATATGAGTCCATTGTAAAGATGAACTTGAATGTCATTATCCTGCTTCCCAATAATTTGATTTTGCTTCTGTTGAAGAGGGCTTCACCTACCTAATGTACTATGGGATCTAGCCATCGGAGTACAATGTCATTGATTTCTTATAAAAGTATGTTCTTTGATCGTTTTTCCTAATTGCTTGGGAGGGGGTCGAAGTTATTGGGTATTAGGTATAGCCAGGGACTTCCACCATTTAGAGGAAAGTAATGTGAATTGCATAAAAATTCTGCACTCGTATAATGTTATTTAAGCATGGGGGTATATATGACTGCAATTACTAAGCCACAACTCCTTGAGAAATTGGTTTAAATTGAAGAACAAATCAAAATTTTGAAATTGTTTATTATTTTTGTCTGCCATTTTGAAAGATAAGGTAATGGACCACAAATTTATTATAATACTGGCCAGTGATCTTACTTGCCAGTGACCTTATTGGCTTTTATAATTATTAGACATAGTCTCCCTTGTTACTTATTGGAAGATCAAAGAACCATTAGGAAGGAAATTAATAAAGTATAGAGGTTAATAATGTAGGAGCCCTTAAAGAGAATGTCGTACACATATTTTACCAAACTGACAGACAATCATTTCTACCATCTTCTAAACAAAACCCCAAAGCACTCATTAACTCATTTTTTCCAGAGATATATCTTATTTTTCTGACATCACTTTTCGGGGACATTCTTGACTGATTGGCTGATTTCAAAGCATCATTGGTACTTTTATTGAAAATATGTTTGTTTTGACTTTACATATATATATATTTAGTTGCCTCATGGGTTACTCTCTGTTATTTTTATATAAGGTATATAATTTAATCTTTCACACATTGAAGAATCTGAACAGAATTTAACATAATAGTAAGGCCATTATCCTATTAGAAATCTATAAAAATCAGTTAAGTTAAATCAGTTTACGGATTAAATGTCCATTTTGTCATTATACGACTGCAAGCAATCCAATCCATTGTAAATAATTAATTATTGGTTTCCACCTTAATGAAAAGTTTGATTAGCCATTTGAAATCGGTAAATGAAACCTCGTCAATTTGAGACACAGTGCTGCAATAAATCATCAAAGAAAATGAGAATGTTCTTTCGGTGATAACTATTTGTTAATCTCTTTTTTCTTTACTCTTACATATGCTTAATTGTCTCTATATTGATTTGTTCATGATTGTTGTTCACAATTTCTTTTAAGTACAGGATAGTGGTCTGCCTACATTGTGTTTATAAAGTGTTTATAAAGGAACTTCTTTTTTGCTTTTGTCTGAACTTCATCCCTAGGATACATTTGAGACTATGCGGGGAGCAAGATCCGCATGAATGATATTGATGACCTAAGCATCTACCTCATAAAACCATAACTCACTTATGTAGCATATGTTTTTCAAACAATTTAGTCATAGAACATTCCTGGTTGTATCAGTTGTATTAGATGGATACGACTATATAATTCACTATAAGACAAAGGTAATGTTTTGAGAACTAGAGACCTATTATCACACAGACTGTTTTCGTATGTCATATTGAACAATACAAGATCAATGATATTTGCCCATTAGTCCATGATATGATGTTATAATACTGTGATCATAATGCATAAGTCATGTTTCCCCGCTACCTTTATCCTGGTGTCGCAGATGAGAAATATCAACTTCATGGTTATTTTGACATAAAGTCATCTCATAAAGTACATCTAAAACATATGCCCTAGGTAGTTGTTGGCTGATGAATTAATCCACTATTCTATGGCCATTGTCAGCTGTCACCAAGCAGTTGAATTCGCAAATGCTACCTTAGTCTGTCATCAAGCTCAACATAACATTTTGCCTATTCTGTCGCTGACATAGGCTGGGGTAACAGATCTTGGGGAGGCGATTGGTAATTGCCAGGGCAAATGAGGAGGGATATTTCTTTATTTGGTAAATTTTTATAGGTTGGGTACAAGAATGTAGAACAGAGCTAGAATTGATTGCTTACAATTGTATATAATTGGTTCAGTCATATACTGTGACCCCCATCCCCAATGCCATTTACAGCTTAATCCCTGCCTTGGAAATTTGAATGTAGAATCAGGCAGACCTGTTTTATCTTCCCATTGTTTCACATTGATGAGTTGTGCAGCCAATGATATGAAAATAAATTGACGTTTTATAAGATTGATGACCAGCCTCGTGATTGTTTTTTTTTTGTCACACTGAAATACTATTTAAACCCATTTCTGTTTCTAACCTATTTCCTGTATGACTCACTATTGTGATTTATTGGCTAGAAGCTGTTTTCCTGTAGTCACTGTGCCTGTAATTTAAACAACCAGTCTGTCACTTCACCCAACCTAACTTGCACCTAAAAAGCCACTATTGGTTATGCCTTGGTCCCATTTGCTCTGATTTTCAATCCAGCACACAATATTGAGTATTTTGTTACAAAATACTTGGCCAGGTACTGATCCTGAAAATCAGAGCAGATGTGACCACTGCATTAGATGGAACAAGTTCCATGATATTTATATTTTGGGTGTTTGGGGGTTGACTGATCATGATCATTGAAACAACTTGTATTACACGTGATTGAAAATTTAAAAACTAACTTGTACTAAATGTTGAAAATTATACAGTAAAAATAATGAAAAATTTGATATTTTGACTAGTTATGGTCATTTTTCAATAATTCTTAACAATGGGATTACCATTTCATCTTTCATTTAGAAATTAGATTATATCCGTTAAAAGAATGGAATAATACAATGTGTATCAGTGTTTGGGCACAGTAATTCAAGTTGATAAAGCCAGGTGA